ATCTTTCTCCCGCGGAGCGGCTGGTAGTTTCGAACCGCTGACCTTAAGGTTCGCAGCCCGATTCGTAACCACTACGCTACCAGAGCTCCTTCTAGTATGTGAATAATATCCCCCTTGCCCCCCACACCAAGTAGCCACCATAGTGTTTCTTTTATCAAGAAAACCTTTTCTTAACTTTTTATAATAGTGGTCTCATACAATATTTGTCATTTTGTGATTGACCGATTTCGTTGCGCGTAATGTCCTCTAGGAGTCCTGGTGGAGCACTGTGGGATAAAGCACTGAACCACGAGGTCAGTTTGAACCACAAAGTCAGCGAGTCAAACTAACCAGCTGCTCCTCTGAAGCCCTAACAAGATCATTATGAGTCAGAACCGACTCAATAGCACTTACCAACAACAAAAATGTCCTCCATGTTCGTCTATGTTGTGAGGTGTTTTTCAGATTCATCATTATTCTTCAATGTTGCATACTGTTTCATTGTATATACCAAAGTTTGTTTAATCATTCTTCTCTTGATGGGCATTTAGGCTGTCTCTGTCTTTTTGCTATTGTGAATAGTGCTGCTATGAACATGGGTGTGCATATATCTATCCATGTCATGGCTCCTATTTCCTGAGTATATATACCAAGTAGAGGTATTGCTGGGCTATACAGTATTTCTATTTCCAACTTTTTGAGAACGTGCTATACCGTTTTCCACAGTGGTTGTACCATTTTACAATTTCACCAGTAGTAGGGTCCCAGTTTCTCCACCCTCACTAGCATTTGTTATTTTCTGTTTTTTTGAACTTTGCTGTTAATGCTGGAGTAAGATGATATCTCATTGTTGCTTAATCGCAAGGTCAGCAGTTCGAAACTACCAGCTGCTCTGCGGGAGAAAGATGAAGCTTTCTGCTCCCATAAAGATTTAATACAGCCTCGAAAACCCTGTTCAGGGTCGCTATGGGTTGGAACAGACTGAACGGTACTTAACAACAACAACAATGGCTAATGAAGGAGCCCTGGTAACATAGTGGATTACGAGTTGGACTGGTAACCACAAGGTCAGTAGTTCAAATCTACCAGTCGCTCCTAGGGAGAAAGATGAGGTTTTCTGCTCCTATAAAGATTTACAACTTTGGAAACCATATGTAGGATCTCTATGAATCAGAACCGACTCCACAGCACACAACTACCACCAATGGCTAGTGATCATGAGCATTTCTTCATGTTTGTTTGTCGCCTGAATGTCTTCTTTGGTGAAGTGTCTGTTCATGTCTTCTGCCCATTTTTAAATTGGATTATTTGTCTTCTTGTTGTGGAGGCATTGGTTTGTTGTTGTTGTTATTGTTAGGTGCCATCGAGTCGGTACCAACTCATAGCGACCATATGCATAGCAGGACGAAACACTACCCGATCCTAGGCCAACCTCACTACTGTTGCCACACTTGAGTCCATCGATGCTGCCATTTGGCTAATCCATGTTGTTGAGAGTCTTCCTCTTTTTCTCTGACCCTCCACCTTCCAAACATGATATCCTTCTCCAGCAATTGGTCCCTCCTAGTAATATGTCTGAAGTATGAAAGACGAAGTTTGGCCATCTTGGCCTCCAAGGAGCACTCTGACTGCACTTCTTCCAAAATGAGTGTCCTATAAATTTTAGAGAGTAGTTTTTTGTCTGATATGTCATTGCCAAATTTTTGAACTGCAATGGCAGTGGTTCAGACCCACCAGCCACTTAACAGAAACCCTACACATGGTTGTTCTGAGTGAGAACTAACTCAACAGCACATAACAGCATCAATGCTTGTTTGTGCCAAGGTTCCAAATTATTTCCATGCTTTTGTGTATTATCTTATTTAATTCTCCCAAGAACTATGATGGAGGTCCAGTTAACATTTGTATTTCACTATAAGGAAACCGGGGCACAGAGAACCTAAGATCGGGTATTTTCAAAGACGCAGACCCAGAAAAGCCCCTGTATTTCAGCTGCCATGTATTTCTACTTGTGTTCTCTTACCGTTACCCGGGTGCTTGAATGGCTAAGTGGTTTGCATAAGGTTTAACTAGGAAGTTCAAGAGAGAGGAAGAATTTTCTTGCTCACTATAGCAGTTCTCAAATGGTGCTGCTTGGCATAGAAGAGAAAGCAAGGAGATTGAAAAATGCTGTTTTGAGCAGAGAAATGTTCAGTCATTAATTCAACAGTATATATGGAGTGTTTCCCTGTTCCTGTCACTGGATTTATGTTGTTAAGTGCCTTCAAGTCAGTTCAGGTCCAACACATAATGACCTTGTATAGGGTTTCTGAGGCTTTTAAACAGTCTTTGTGGGAACAGAAAGCCTCATCTTTCTCCCATGGAGTGGCTGGAGGGCTGTAACCATGGACCTTGTGATTCATTGTCCAGTGTTCATAATATGGAGCTACCGCGCTCCCCACTGGATATATGGTGGTGGTGGTGGTGGTCAAGTCAGTTTGGTTCCAACTCATAGCAACCCTGTATAAGGTTTCCGAGGCATTTAAAAATCTTTGTGGGAGCAGAAAACCTCATCTTTCTCCCACGAAGTGGCTGGCAGGATGGAACTAGGGACCTTGTGGTTTGCAGTCCAGTGCTTATCGTATGGAGCCACTGTGCTCCCCAGTGGATATATGTTGTTGTTTTTAAGTGTCATCAATTGGTTTCCAACTCATAGTGACCCTATACAGGGTTTCTAAGGAGCAGCTGGTGAGTTTGAACTGCCAACCTTGTGGTCCAGTGCTTATCCTACAGCCCCACACCAGGATGGATATATTGTTGCTATTGTTAAGTGCCATAGAGTTGGTTCCAACTCATAGCAACCCTGTATAGGGTTTCCAAGGAGCAGCTGGTGAGCTTGAACTGCCAACCTTGCAATTCAAACCAATTTTGCAGTTCAGCGCATTAACCTGCTGCGCCACACCAGGACTCCTTGTTGTTGTTGTTGTTAAGTGCTGTCAAGTTGATTCCAACCCATAATAGCTACCTTGTATAGGGTTTCCAAGAAGCAGCTGGTGAGCTTGAACCACCAACCTTGCAGTTCAAATGACTTTGCAGTCTGACACATTAGCCCACAGCGTCACACCAGGACTCCTTAGTGGTGATTAAAACATAGCCTGTCACCATCCTCATGTAGCCTATGATGCCATGGAGAAGACTGACATTACATGAGTACACACACGAGCAGGTGTGTAATAAACATCATGATAGATGCTTTGAGAGGAACCCACAGAATATTTGAGAAAATAACAAGGGGTCCAGGGGACACTTAATTTAGATTAAGGGAGTCAGGGACAGTTTGGGGGAGGTGATGTTTGACTTCAGATCGTACGGATTAGTCAGGCTAAGAGTGTCAGACACAAAGCTGTCTATAATTATGCATATTTATACTTATCTCTAGTGCCTTCTAAGAAGCACGAATATTACAGTAGATTACGAGCTGAGCTGCTAACTGCAAGGACAGCAGTTCAGATCTATCATTCACTCCATGGGAGGAAGATGAGGCTTTTTGCTTCCGAAAAGATTTACAGCCTCAAAAACCCTATGCAAGGTTGCTGTGAGTCGGAACCGACTCCACAACCACCATCACCACCTAGAGTTTTCTGACAAGAATTTTGGATATTCATAATTTTAACTCTGAATTTTCATATTCCCATAGCTAGATACTTGAAACATTACATTTGTCTGTTAAATATAGCCATTATTTCTCTCTACCCATTAGTTCAGATACTTGTATAACACTACTGAATTTTAGAATTATCAAAGTATCTTCAATTTCCTAACTCCCCATAATAAAAACAACATAAAACAAATTTGTCTAATGTCTGTGCTAAGCTCCACAGTTACCATGAAATACTTTTTATTGTCATGTTCACAGTTGTTGCAGAAATTAGAAAATGAAGCGTGCTCTTCTTGGTATGTTTGTAATAAATAACATTAAATTTGAATTTGCGGTCACAAATTTGAAGAAGAGTAGTCATTCGTCAAACTATCTCAGACACTTTCAGAAACTCTTTTCTGATGAAAATAGTCTTCTAGTTGAGATGTACACACTGACTTTATAGAAGTGAAACACCCAGAAGGTCAGAAAAACTCGTATTTGGGTTAGAAACTTCAAGTATTTCTGAAGTGAATCATACTGGTGACTAAATAAAGTAAGAAGACCTTATATGGCAACTTACAATGGCATTTACTTGACCACACCCATGAAAAGTATCTTTAAAAGCATCAATATAATTAAAACATTAGTGGTGGTGGTGTGTGCCATTGAATCAGTGTTGTCTCATATATAACTAACCCTGTATGAAAAAGATCTGCTCCGATCATTTGGTTATCAGCTAAATGCTTAACCATTGCGCCACCAGAACTCCGTATCAAGACTGTGTTAATCATTTCCAAACTGGAAAACCAGAGAAAGCATTGGAAATCATACCAAGAAGCCCACAGACTCACAACTTGGAAAATGTGATCAATGTCATTGAACACTACATGAGAAATTGTTGAATTGGCGTATGTTTTCTTTTGTATATTTTCACCACAATTTTTTAAAACACTGATTTTTAAAAAAGCCCATAGACTGTAATATGTGAAGTGGAATGGGAATTTCTCCTGTTCCATGGAGAAAAAGGATAAATCATTGTCTATTTATAAAAAAAAAAAATTTGGAGATATTTAACTTGTAAGTCTTTCTGTTTATTTGTGCCATCTATTCTATAACTTTGTAACTGCATCATAATCATCTAAATATTTGTTAGTCTTGTTATTGTTGTTAAGTGCCGTGGAGTTGGTTCCGACCCATAGTGACCCTGCACAGAGTTCTTTACGGGAGCAGAAAGCCTCATCTTTCTCCCACGGAACCGCTGGTAGTTTCAAACTGCCGACCTTGAGGTTAGGAGCCCGATTCGTAATAGTCTTGCTGCATTTAAAATTGTGAACTATTTCAAACGTGGAAAAGTACAGAGAATAGCATAATACATATATATGTATCTACCGAGATTTAATTATTCTCTGTATTTTATTGGTTATTTTTCTTCAGTAGTAACCTTCTCTATATAACCAGGTGATATGAACCTACTGAATACTGAAACTAAATACGACATTGCATGTAAAATTACGGATTTGCAGACAAAAATCTCTGTATATAACACAGCATAATGAGGGGTAGAGATCTGTCTATGTGGATTCAATCTAGGCCCACTGTTCACTTGCAGGAATAATTTTTGAGGCAGCTCAGTGACTTGATCAGAAGGGAAGCGATGGGATTGTTAGGATCTTCACACCTAACAAGTATTTTTCTGCTTACATGTACTGTCCTTTGTTTTTGTTTTTCTCTTGCCATCAATTTTATAGATTTGTTATTGCCATCTTCATCTCTCTTTTCTAACTTTCCAATAAATCATGTAAGCCTTTAATTTGAGCAAAAGACCCTTTCCTCTTCATCTATGAAGTTATCAAAAGCACATATATGACCATGAGTCAAGAGTTCTTTCTGTCTTCTAATTCCACTTCTGTCACCAGCTGCTCCATAACCTTAAGCAAGTAGTTCACTCTCATTCCAAGTATCCTCAAAAGGAAGACTTAGTTTAAGATTCTTATCACTCGCCATAAAGACCCAGTGAGGTAGATCACCAGTTTTCTCTGTTTCCTTTTTCCTGATTTACCAATAGATTGACGATGTGTTCTTCCTTTAGGCTGTGAAATTTGAACCATACCATGACAGCGCCCTTGCCAGATTTCTGCTCAAGCATGGTTTAAGAGTAAGTACGTGCATTTGATAACAGTAGGACAATTTAAAAGTTAGCAGGAGTATATTGATAGACCAAGAGCATCATGAATAATAATTTAACCTCCTTATTCCCACTCTCAGAATAAAAGGATTGGTCACTTCTTGTTTTGGTTCTTAAGAAGTGAGATAGCCCAGTCCAGGCACTACCAGCAGAGGTTCGCTGTGATCCTGGAAGCTTATCTGCGGGGTTGTGGTACCGCCATGCTGAATGACTTCACACAACAAGTCCAAGTAATCGAGATGTTACAAAAAGTCACCATTGATATTAAATCACTCTCTGTTGAAAAGTATGACGTCAGTTCCCAAGGTACAGTTCCTACATATCCTTGGTTCTCTTTCTAAATGCTTATGGCTCCAAATGTTGTTGATTCTCTTCTCTCTGAAAGGTAAGTCGCATTCACTAAAGGCAGCCAAAAACACATTTTTAAATCTTCTGTCTGCGTGGAATGAGCACATTTGAAGTTCTCCTTTACAAGTTAATAATTTGTATTATTTATATGTGCATATTTTTAATAATAAAGTTGTAATAATAGATATAAAGCTCTTAGAAAAATGCTTTAATATCATGCAAATGTAAGGTAGATTTAAAAAAACAACAACAACAATTGCACACACTCACACATACAAAATCCAGAAGCAGATTAACTATTTCCAGCAGATTAGGTATTTCCAAATCTACACGTTTTTTTTTCTCCCTATCTTTGAATAAAGGCATACGGTTTTTAAATTTTCAGTCCTTAAAAGTCATGAATTATTGATAAGTTATTTTAAATCTTTGCATTTCTTTGTGTATGTGTGTGCATGCAACAGAGGTGTTATCATCTCCTCTCTGAAGCTAGTTCCAATATCCTCTTCTTGTCTGTACCTTGGGATAATGACTCACTCCTGCGAATTCCCATCATTTTGGATGATACTGCATTTGCATATTGCTACACTAAATTGTCAGAGTCCTGTCATAGCCTGGTGTGATGCTATAGGATAAGCACTGGACTACTAAGCACAAGGTCAGCGGTGCAGCCCTACCAGCTGCCCCTCAGAAACCCTATAGAGAGCCACTATGATTCGACAGCACATCGGCACTGACCTGTGTAGCTTGTCTATGCTTACTATGCGTCGTTAATACATCTTTCTCATCTGTTAAGTTGTCTGAGTCCTGAAGCTAGGGTAGGTCTTTTATTCATTTTCATATACCTAGACCCAGTCCTGGTATGGCGCAATGGGTTAATATGCTGGACTGCAAGGTTGGTTTGAACTGCAAGGTAGGTGGTTCAAATTCATCAGCTGCTCCTTGGAAACCCTATACAGGGTCGCTATGGATCAGAACTGACTCAACGGCACTTAACAATAACCACAAAGACCTAGAACTGTGGTTCATAATGGACATTTAATACTCAGCCGGTATTTTAAGCTTCTGAATATTTTAAACTTCCACACTTGCCCTTTGTTCCTTATCTAATATACCAACAATGCTCTCCTAAAAGTAATAATTGTAATAATTATTATTTACTTTTATTTTTAATAACAAGTAAGAAAGGAAAGCGCTTCATGCTTGGTAAAGGGGAGGGTCAACATAAAAGAGATGGATTGGCACATTGGTAGCAACACTGGCCTCTAACATGAGCACAATTCTGAGACGGTGTTTCACTCTGTTGAGCACAGGACGCTTATGAGTCAGAGCCCACTCGACAGCACCTAACAACAAAGAAAGGAAAACATTTGCACTGTTATCCATGGGGTCATTTTTTTTTTTTTTAATTCAAGGATTTCACCTTTAGAATTTTGTGGGTGTCATATCTTCATGCAACTTCACTTCCTCTTTTGAAAAGAAATGACAGAAGCATAGTTCAATTCCATTTAATATTATCTTCAAACCTCTATTCCCCAAGTCAAATGGCAATTTAAAGCTTCACATGTTGGAATGAAAACTGCAGCATTAATTCCTTAGCACTACTGTCAAAGCATCTTTCTCTACCTGACTGTCTGTGCATGCCATTTCATATATAGTCACATAGTTGTATCCCCCGTTGCAGTATTTGTACATGGTTGTAGTGCTCACAGTAAGCTGGCTTATCTTGCATGTCAGATGGTCAGTTAGTTCCTCAAATACGGGAACTTACCCTCTTTTCCCCTGCTCTACAGCAGACTAAATGTATGTTGTTGTTAGGTATCATCAAGTCGGTACCAACTCATAGTGACCCTATGCACAACAGAATGAAACACTACTCGATCCTGGGCCAACCTCACAATTGTTGCCACACTTGAGCCCATTGATGCTGCCACTTGGTCAATCCATGTCACTGGGGGGTCTTGCTCTTTTTCTCTGACCCTCCACCTTACCAAACATGATACCCTTCTCCAGCGACTGGTCCCTCTTGACAATATGTCCAAAGTATGAGAGATGAAATTTGGCCATCTTGGTCTCTAAGGAGCACTGTGGCTGCACTTCTTCCAACACAGATCTGTTGGTTCCTTTGGCAGCCCATGGCACTTTCAATATTCTTCTCTAACACCATAACTCAAAATAGAATGCTATTAATAAATTGTGGTTGTTAAGAATCATCAAGTTACTTCTGATTACAGTGACCCTGTATAGGGTTTCCAAGGATCAACAGGTGGGTTAGAACCACTGACCTTATGATAAGCATTTTCACTTATCACACTGCTTATCCTAGAACACCACACCAGAATACCATGTTAACAAATTAGGCCTCAGGAACTGTTATAGATTGAACTCATGTAACTTTTTTTTTTTTTTTTTTTTGAACTCATATAACTTTTGTGTGCTTTTGATAATTACAGTTATTTTACAACTTAAGCAAAAGCTTGAAAACCTGCAGAATTCTAATCTTCCGAAAAGCTTTAGAGTTCCGTATGATCCTGGACTGAAGGCAGGAGCTCTAGTGGTAGGTGTCAGCCTGATGATTCTGTGTTGTCTCTCTGTTGTGGAATTGTCTGTGCATGGTCTGGGGGGTCAGTAATTTAAGAATGGACATCTTTTTTAGAGATGGAGACACTGAAGAGACTTAGGATGGACTTCTGTCAACTTCTTTGGTAATCACTACTAAAAGTTTCAAGAACTCTGGTAGTGTAGTGGGTATGAATCGGGCGGCTAACCTCACAGTCAGCAGTTTGAAACTACCAGCTGTTCCGTGGGAGAAAGATGAGGCTTTCTGCTCCCGTAAAGATTTACAGCCTCGGAAACCCTGTACAGGGTC